AAGTACCCTCCATGACAGGAAGGGGCACAACGAACTCACTAACTTCTCTTCAGTCTGCATACAAACTGTATGCAGCCCCTCTACCCAATGCAGCCCCTGCACCTACTACAACCCCTATACCCCCCTACACTCACTACAGCTCCATTACCCCTACAGTTAATACTGCTTTTATAACCCCCGTTCCCCGTGCAGCCCCTATATCCCCTACAACTACTAAAGCCCTATACAGCCAATATGCACCCGTACAGCCTTTATGCCCACTATAGCCCATTTCAACTGCACCTGCAACTGCATCTATTGCTCTCTGCACCTACCACAGCTCCTATCCCTCCTCTGCACCCACTATAGCGTATATTATCCCCATACCTCCACTATAGCCCCTGCTTTCCCTTATCCCCACAAAAGCCCCAACTTTAGTCTTAATTACTCCCTGTCCCCACTACAGCTCCTATGCGCCTGGCATCTATGGCAGCCTTTATCTCCTTCCCCCTACAGCAGCCCACATGTCTCCTGTACACACTACAGCCCCTATTACCCCGTGCATCCATTAAAGCCCCTATTGACCCCTGCACCCACTACAACCTTTCTCCCCCAGCATCCACTATGGCCAGTAAACCTCCCCTATATCCACTATACCCCTGTGATTACTCCTGAGGTCTCTTTACAGTCATTTAAATATATTTAAAGGGACATTATAGACACCCAGACCACTTCAGCTCATTGAGGTGGTCTGGGTGCAGTGTCCCAGGTACCTTACCCCTGCAATTGTAATTATTGCAGTTTTTGATGAACTGCAATAATTACCTTTGAAGGGTAAGCTCCATCTCTAGACAGCCACTAGAGGGACTTCCGAGTGGTTAGGCGACTTTTGATCGCCTGACGCTGGGCGTCCTCATGCTATGCATGAGGGCATCCAGCGTCACTTAAAACTCCATAGGAAAGCATTATACAATTCTTTCCTATTATTGGGCAGACTAGATGGGCCAAATGGTTCTAATCTGCTGTCACATTCTATGTTTCTATAAGGGAAATCCTAATGTGAATGTGCGAGGCAGAGACTGGACCAGCACCGAGCAACAGCGGCGCTAGAATCAAGTATGTGACAGAAGGGGTTTTTAATTGTGGAGAGCTATAGTGCCAGGAAAATAACTTTGGTTTTCTGGCACTATAGTTTCCCTTTAACTATACAGTGATTCCACATATCCTGACATGACACACAAAGACATACATATATTGACTGTCAGAGTGACTCACAGTGAATATACACAGATAAACATACATTCACTTCGCATGCAAACAGGGCCTTCTTTAAAGGGGGGCAAAAGGGGCAGCTGCCCCGGGCCCAGTTACTCCTAGGGGGCCCAAAGTAGCTTCCCCGTGGGCCCCCACCCGGCGTCCAAACCCTGTGGGCTGCAGCACCTCCAGCCCTTTAAGGGTGCTCCAGACAGGGCCCCTGTCATGCTGCCTGCGGAGATCACTTCCTCCCAAGTAACACAGAGTGCCGCTAGGGAGGTGGAGGAAGCCCACACAGGAGGAGGAGAGGGACCCCCAGGGAAGCCACCCTTCTGTACCCAAAAGGTAAGGAGACAGGAGGGTGGCTAAAATATGATGTAAATTGATATGTGTGTGTATCTGGCTGTGTGTGTGCGTGTGTGTGTGTATCTAGCTGTGTGTGTATCTGGCTGTGTTTGTTTCAGTATTTGTATCTGGCTGTGTGTGTGTGTCTAGCTGTGTGTGCGCATCTGGCTATTTGTGTCTGTGTTTCTTTGTATGTACATCTGCATGTATGTGTATCTGTATGAATGTATACCTGTGTTAATGTGTATGTGTACCTGCGTGTGTGTGTGTGTCAGTATGTGAAAGTGTGTATCTATGTATGTGACAAAGCATTTATCTCAGAATTCCAATGCCAACGCTGTACACACATGCGCTAACAATGCACACAAATACACTCCTGCATTCCAGCAACATTGCACACAAATACACCCCTGCATGTGTACCTGTGTGTGTATCTGAGTGTGTGTACATATCTGTGATAGTGTGTATCTCTGTGTGTGGATGTGCCAGTTTGTGTATCTGTGTGTGTGCGCCAGTGTCTGTATCATAGTGTGTGTCAAAGTGTGTATCTGAATGTGTGTGTATATACCAGTGTGTTTGTGTTAGTGTGTATCTGTGTCTAGGTGTGTGCATGTATCAGTGTGTTTATGTGTGTATCTGTGCGTCAACGTGTGTGCATATGTCCAGGTGTGTGCATGTATCAGTGTGTTTATGTGTGTATCTGCGTGTCAATTTGTATGTATATCTGTGTTAGTATGTATGTGTATACATCCAGGCAATCAAACACACCGCTGCAAACACAATTACTATACAGGGAGTGCAGAATTATTAGGCAAGTTGTATTTTTGAGGATTAAAATTAATATCAAAGCTGAATATTTTTGGAAGTAGTTTTTAGTTTGTTTTTAGTTTTAGCTATGTTAGGGGGATATCTGTGTGTGCAGGTGACTATTACTGTGCATAATTATTAGGCAACTTAACAAAAAACATATATATACCCATTTCAATTATTTATTATTACCAGTGAAACCAATATAACATCTCAACATTCACAAATATACATTTCTGACATTCAAAAACAAAACAAAAACAAATCAGTGACCAATATAGCCACCTTTCTTTGCAAGGACACTCAAAAGCCTGCCATCCATGGATTCCGTCAGTGTTTTGATCTGTTCACCATCAACATTGCGTGCAGCAGCAACCACAGCCTCCCAGACACTGTTCAGAGAGGTGTACTGTTTTCCCTCCTTGTAAATCTCACATTTGATGATGGACCACAGGTTCTCAATGGGGTTCAGATCAGGTGAACAAGGAGGCCATGTCATTAGATTTTTTCTTCTTTTATACCCTTTCTTGCCAGCCACGCTGTGGAGTACTTGGACTCGTGTGATGGAGCATTGTCCTGCATGAAAATCATGTTTTTCTTGAAGGATGCAGACTTCTTCCTGCACCACTGCTTGAAGAAGGTGTCTTCCAGGAACTGGCAGTAGGACTGGGAGTTGAGCTTGACTCCATCCTCAACCCGAAAAGGCCCCACAAGCTCATCTTTGATGATACTAGCCCAAACCAGTACTCCACCTCCACCTTGCTGGCGTCTGAGTCGGACTGGAGCTCTCTGCCCTTTACCAATCCAGCCACGGGCCCATCCATCTGGCCCATCAAGA